CTCCCCTTGATTCTATCCTTCCCATCCCCGATGGCCCACCCTTCTCCCATACTATCTCTAGTATCTACAGTTGCTTTCCATGCTTTTATACGTTCCAATCTTTCAGTTTCTGTCATAGAATGCAGCCATTTGATACATATTAAGCCGAGACATACAATGCCTCTTTTCATAGTTGGACTTCCTTCACTTAGCATTAAATGTTCCATATTTGTCCACTTTTTATCAAATGCCAGCCAGAACCTCATTTTTTATATAGCTAAGTAGTATTCTATAGTGTATATGTGCCACACTTTTTCGATACATTCATCTGTTCTTGAAAATCTGGGTTGATTCCATGTCTTAGCAATCGTGAGTAATGCTGCAATAAACATGGATGTGCAAGTGTTTTCCTGACTGAGTGTATTCCTATCTTTTGGGTAGAAACCCAGGAGTGGAATTGCTGGATTGTATGGTATTTCTATTTGTAGGTTTCTGAGTAACCTCAATATTCTTTTTCCTAGTGGCCATATTAATTTCCACCCCCCAACAGTGTAGGAGAATTTCCTTTTTACTACAGCCTTATCAGCCCTTGAAATTCTTTATTTCTTACATCTTAGCCATTCTGAATTGGGTTAAGTTGTATTTCATTGTAGTTGTGATTTACATCCCCGTTATGAGAAGGGATGTTGAGCATTTTTTCATAAGCTTTTTGACCGTTCCTTTGTCTTCCTTGGAGAGTTGTCTATTCAGCTCATTTGCCCATCTTTTAATTGGATTGATTTTTTTGGGGGTGGGGGTAGAATAAGCTACTTGAGTTCCTTGTATATTCTGGTAATCAGTCCCTTTATCTGAGGCATAGTTTGCAAATATATTCTCTCATTCCAAGGGTTGACTCTTCACTAGAATTATTGTTTCCTTTGCCATGCAGGTTTTTAATATGATGTAGTTCCACTTGTCTATTTTTGGGATTATAGCCTGTGCTTTGGGGATTCTTATTAAAAAACTCTTTACCTACTCAAATGTCTCCCTGTTTTCCCCTGTTTTTTTTTTTTTTTTAACCAGTAGTTTTATAATTTCAGATTTTATGTTTAGATCTTTGATCCATTTGAATTGATTTTTGTTAATGGTGAGAGATTTCACTTTTCTGCAGGTGGATATCCAGTTTGACCAGCACCATTTAGTGAAGGTATATTTCCCCCACCACTGGATTGTCCTGTACTCTTTGTCAAAAATTAGTTGGCCGTATGTTTTGAGGTTTATTTCTGGGTATTCTATTCTATTCCATTGGTCTACACGCTTGATTTTGTGCCAGTACCATGCTGTTTTTGTTTTCTTTCTTTTTTTTTTTGAGAGAGAGAGAGAGATTTTTGCTACAGGGTGTGTGTGCTCACCAGAGAGACAGAGAGACAGGAAGTGAGAAATCACTCCCTAGGGAGGATGGCCAAGTCACAATCCCTTCTTCTCCATTCTCCTCTCAGGATTTTGAGCATGCACTCACACATGCCTGGTGTATCTTAAGTTGCCAGGTCCAGAACTTCAACTGAAGGTGACTATGTGGGAGTCTAGTGGCATAACCATTATGCCATCTGCTGGTCCCACCATGCTGTTTTGATTATCATAGCTTTGTAATATATTTTGAGATTAGGGAATGAGATGGCTCCCACTTTCTTCTTTTTGTGTAGTATTGCTTTGGTGATTTGAAGTCTTTTATGATTCCAGACAAATTTTATGATTTTTTTCTAATTCTGTGAAGAATATATCTGGTAATTTGATTGGAATTGTATTAAATTTGTAAACTAACTAGGGTAGCTTTGATATTTTGATTATATTAATTCTTCCAATCTCAGAACATGGGATGTCTTCCACTTTTTTATATCAGTTTATATTTTTTATTTTTAAAACATTACCAAAGTTTAACATATTTGTGTAATCAATTTATCCATTTTTTCCTTTGGTGGAGAATGTAAATTCAACGTGGGCAGCTGAATTCTGAAAAGCCATTAATAATGTTATGTGACACTGTGAGCTCTCTGGCTTACCTCCTGAAGGGGCCTCCTGCATACAGGGGCCCTTCACTGGGAAAAAGGGAAGCCTCCTGCTGGAGTTTCATATTTCAATGTTTTAAGAAAGAGGCTGCCTGAGAGGGCTATATTTAGAATATGACTCTCAGTGGGGACAGGTGGATGTCTGGGGACTAACTTGTACATACTTTGTTCCTGAATTCTGGGATTATTCTGAGGGGCTTGTATGGGAAGTACAATGAATTTGTTACAGAAGGCAGGGAAGGAAAATGCCTCTTTCTCCTGGTGATTGCTTGTACCCTTTCCTTCCATTTGTGAGAGAAAATGACAGGACATCAGGATGTAGCAGTGATTCACAGTCACCTAGATTCCTCATTACTATCTCCACTGGGAAATGCTGAACCTCTCCAATGTTTGGGTGACACAGAGTACATGAATGAAAGATGCTGCTGAGATTTAATCGGTGTCGCAATGAAATGAAAATTCCACCTGCTAAACTTCCTTTCCATCCACGCAATAGCAGTTGATTCTTTTCACCAGCGTTGTAAGACTGAGTTGATTACATGCTTATGTAAAATCTACATAAAGCTCCTTTGATGAAAAAAAAAAGGTTAATCTGTAAAGTCACTAGTTTGTTAGACACTGGGTTTATCAGGAATTGCAGGAGTTTGGTCTTCATTGAATTATCTAGGAGTCATCTCTGAAAAAGTTCTCAGCCACCTGGCAGGAGACTGTAAGTTCAGCCAGAACTTCGAAAGGTTATAAATCACTTGTGTAAAATTGTTGAAATTAGAAGACTGAACGTCTTTTTTAAAGAGTAATTTACAGATCATATTTAAAACATGCTGGTTTTTTTTAGGAAATGTTGATATTTAAAATGCCAATAATTACAACTTTGTCTTGAAAGCTGTGAAATAGTTTATAACAACTAGGGGATATTTTTAAGATAGCACAAAATACTCTAAATGAATGAATCTTTTTATTTTCACAACCTGAATATTTTTTATGTCAAATGAAAATGGCTCTACCTTATTTTCCAGAAAACAAAACAAAACAAAACAAAACAAAATCCCAAAAAACCCTTATTTTAAAAAGAAAGAAACAAATGAAAACAAAAGTTAAGGCTCTACTTGCACTACTGCCTGCTTTCCTTCCGGAAATGCCGTTCCCCAGCCCATTTGGTGCAGGCGTTGTACTAAGGCAGGGCAGGTTGTACGGAGGTGGGGGGAGGAGGGTGAGGTCGGTGGGGAGCATTGGTCTTAAGCCTAAGAGGAAAAGAAAGGATTCCAGCCACTGCCTAGGCCTAGGAGTGGGCAGAGGCTTACAGACCCTCCCTGGAAACAGGAGACCGGTAAACTC